CAAACTTTTGATTTAAATCATTTTAAGATAATAATAAGTATTTGTCGTAGAAAAAGTATAGTATGCACCTCGTTTATAAACTTTTCTATACACGCCTTAATTTAAGCACTCGCTCGCAAGCTCGCTCGTGCCTACATTAAATTCGTGTATAAAATGACGTTTATCAAACTTGATACATAATATACTATTTTGATTGTTAATAATCCTTTTAAGGTTTTATTTACACTAGGATTTGTTTAAAAAAAGAACATACATTTATTATTTATAAAAAACAAGAGTACAAACTAAATGTCCATTAAAATTAGTGAGTTTAAGAAATTTTCTTTTATTAAAATTTATTTTTTATCTGGGCCCAGCTTGTCCAATACAATTTAACGAGCAATAAATTAATAAAAAGTTTAAGTTATGTATTAGTAATATTAATAAAATAATAATAAAAAACCAATATAAACATTGTATCGTTGAACTACCAACAAAATTTTTCCAGCTTCTTTAAGGCAAAATGCATTTAATAAAAAATTACTATTAATTACATTATTTTCAATTGGCTACTTACTTCCAGAAATAAAAAAGGTGGAAGGTCGAAAAAAAATGTTTTTAAAACTTTCCTATAAGTTTAATATTATTTTAAAAATACATTATAATTTATTTCCTTGGAATTGTCCCTTGGGTCACATAACTTTCTCCTGGGTCATACAATATGTGATCCAGGAGACGTGTGACCCAGGGGAAAAATGTATGTTTTTAGAACATCTTTACTGTTTTAGACATGCAGCTATTTGTGCATCATTTTATTAATTCCTACACATTGGATAGTGCATGCTCTTCTTTTATAATTGACAGAAAACCGCTTGTGTGGGGTATTTGGTTTTCACAAATTTGAATATTTTCGAAATATTTGTAAGTAATGACCATTATTGATTTCATCAGATATCAAAAAGATTCTTGACGTGTAACACAGAAAAAAGTAATCTCTTGATTTAAGAAAATGAATTTATTTGAAACAGGTTTTCTTGTATAAAGTAAATTTTTCTTATTCGTAGTAACTTGTTGTTTACAATAATAAAATACTATTATTTGGTTGTAAATCATAAGTTTCTTGAAAACAACTTAGTTGTGATTAATTGAAAATAAATATTTATTTAGAGCAATTAATTAAATTGTTTTGATATAGATTTTGTTTCTATAAGTAAGCTTCTACTAAACCTGATATAAAAAGTCAACTAGATATTTACTTGTATTAACCAAATATCTGTTTAAAAAGTCAAATAAACCCAAGTTGTCCACTAAATAAATATCTTCTTGTAGATATCGAAATAAATAATTTATTTGAGCCAAGCCAAATATAGTAAAATCAAGAGATTATTTTTCTCTGTGAATTTTTATGTCCGTTATTTTCACGATTACCAAATTTTCTTTATCTATCAATTATTGTCTTTAAGAGCCTACAAGCACCAGCCAACCAAAAAATAGTGGCAACTTTTATTAAAAGGTAAATTTCATCTGGTGCTTCTTTAATGAATCTTAAAATGTCATCTTTCTAAAAAAAATGGACTTTTTTGGTCGGTATCCCACATTTTCTTTTTTTATATATGCTGTTAATTTAGGCTCAAATACATGGAGTACTTACTCCACAAAGTATTTGGCTGATATGATTTTCTTAAATCCGCACAATAGGCCAGAAACACTTCTTCCTTAAAACTTTTTGTCCCTTTGTTGTTGCACCAGTTTTCAAAATGTTTAAATTGTTTCTCATATTTTTGACAGGATTTCGCTGGTAATAAATTCTCATTTACAGTATTTGCTGCCTCCAGAATGTCATATGGTAGCTGTTTTTCCAAAATGTTCATTTCAGTTTTGCAAAAATCTATAATATATATCTTTATTTGAAACTTATTGACATGGAAATTAAGTAACTAACTAAATTTGATTTAGTTTAAAATCAACATACGTACATTTTAAATGCAAATGCGTGCCTAAAAGTGCAACTTTGCACGCAAATAGGTGCGGATAAGTGTTACTTTGCGCACGCTAGTAGAAACACATACAAATAGATTATCGGAGGGTGGTAAAAATACAAATTCTCTGTAGGATTATTTTTATATCTCCGAACTAGGTAAATACCTACTAAAAAATATACGAATAATATCAGCAATACAAAGGTCTTGAGCATTAGAAAGATTAAAAGGACTTTTGTCTCTCAAGACAAATATATCAGTATTTGAAAGACGACTGTTTAATTATTGATAGAAAAGTTCAGTTTCAGAAGAACAATACCGATCGAATTTATAAATGGAACGGTTTTTGTATTATTTGTAAAGGACAAATGACATTTTGATTCATGTCCTCGACAAAAAAGTTTAGGCGATTGAAAGTTCAATTAGGATTGTCTTAGGATATCTTAGATTGGCGACCTGCATTTTTTAATCAATACTTTTTGGAAGTTTTAGTAAAAATAAAATAAAAAACATACGTAATATTTTAACTAAAAGGATTAAAAAGTAATCAATAATGTTAGTACAGATTCTTTATCTTTAATTAAAAGATGAAAAATGTATTTATACAATTTATACCACATTTTTTTTTCTATGATGAACATCTTTGTAGTAACTCTAAATTATGTAAATCCAATCCCTTTAAAATACATTTATTTTAAAAATAACATTTTTGTTTTTATAAAATCTTGAAATATTTTTTTTTATTAACTTGAAAACCGTGTTGCTGTTCTCGGACAGTATTGTCAGATTTTATGTATTACTTTTAATTCTGTTTCAAGAAATTTGTGTAAAAAATTGTAAAAATCCAGCAAAAAAATAATTTAAAACCTCTTTATATCTTATCTAACAATGATTATTTCCCTCATTATAATATGAACCAATCAAAAGCCTTGAATTTTCGAATAAATTTTGTTTAAATAAGCGATTAAATTACTAGAACTATTTAACAGCGATTAAATTTTAGCCTCCATAATGGATTTTTGTTTACGATTTTATGGTGTTATTTACAAGTTTTAACAAACATTTAAAAAAAAAAACAATAAAAAATAAGTTATCTAGTTTACGAAATATCAATTATTACTTATTACATACCTTAAATTAATGGAATTTTCTTTAAAAAAATATTTATAAATTTTGACACATACGTCAGATTTTATGAATTGTCAAATAGTTTCCTTTAATTCGAGAAATAATCTGGACGTTTATCACCCAACCTATAAATTTAATCTGTCAAACTATGCTCAGTAAGTTTTTTATTTGATTTTTATTTTTGGAAAATAGTTTCATGCAAAATAATTAAAAATAAAACCCCTCGACCGCTACGTGGTCTCGTGATTTTATTAAATTATTTTGCATTCAACATTTTCCAACAAAAACCAAACAAAAAACTACTGAGCCTAGTTTAACCGATTAAATTCATAGTTCTCGTGATATAATATAATATAATATATTATGATTAAAACTATTACAAAAATGGTGAATGCTCCGGGAAATTTGTAACATTCTACAAGGGTTTTAAAATTTAAAATTTATTGAACCGGCGGAAAAAAATTGACTTTTGCATTTTCCTGAAAAGTTTTGACGGATACTATCTGTACACTGATAATATCAGTCTGTCAGTCAGTATGTAAATTTTCGACGCTGAATATAATCAAAATATTACGACTATATTAATTATTCCTTTTATTTTAATTCAGTAAGAATATTCTACCGGGTAACAAAAAAAATATTCGGTGCTGTATTAACATAACTTTCGTTTTATTTGACACATCGACTTATAAAATTATAATTTTTTAATTTAACTTTATAAATCATTCATTATTTTGTAATTTGATATTTTAAATGGACTTCTTTTTGCAAAAAAGACCGAACCGACAGTATATTTGAGGAGCATCCGTGCAAAACCGGCTATATCCACTTTAATAAAATGTTGGGAAAATTGCAAAAACTCTCGGTTTCCTGGCCTTTTATACATATAAAAGAAAAAGCAAACTTGAGTTTTGTGGGCTTTGTGGTACTTGATTTATAAGACATACTTTCGTTTTAAAAAACTTTATATTAAGGCCAAAATTTCAAAAAATGTTTTGTATATAGACGGTTTTGCTCAAAACCGAATAAAATGTGAAAAAAACCTTTATTATTCAAAAATATTAACAAAGTAAATTTAGTGCAAACATGAAAAAACAGAACAAATTTTAGTAGTAGTATACATATCCAAGCCACATGCTCATCATCATTATTATTTATTGGATATAGCCGGGTTTGCTATGAAACCGTGAATTTGGCCGGTTTTGCTCCTAAAGCTACCTTTTAAATGTGATTTTAACATGGATATAGTCGGATTTAAACATAATTATCTTGGTTGTCGATAGAAATGAAACCAAAGATGCGAAATTTAAAAAAAAACAAAAACGGAATAAAATGGATTTAGCCGGTTTTGCACGGATGCTCCTCATTTAAAGTGTACGTTTATTTTCTTAAATCAATTTAATTTAATTCAATGTTTAGTTTTATTTTTTTTGTAAGGATATTTTTTTTAAATTAAAATATGTTAAATTGTTGATTGTCACTATTTTTCATATGTATATATTTCCCACAAAAAAAAATTCCCAAAAGGGCCATTTTTTCCAAGGCCTGAAAAAAAACGGAAAAAACTGATTTTTCCCTACTTTTCCCCTTTTTTTTATTTTATTGTATAAAATTAGCACACACATATTTTGCCCATATTAAACCTTTATATATAAATAAATAATGAAAAAATATCCAATTTTCTTAAAATGCTAACGTTCACAATTATTTCTAAATGCACAATAAAAAAGTTTTCAACTTCATGACCTAGTTGTAAGTTATTATTAAGTTGTAGTGACACTAGGTTATTATTTTAAAATAAATTTATTATTAGTAACAACTTATAATAATTTCATTTAAAGTAAAATAAAACAATTTTGTTCATAAAATTGTCATAAAAACAAAAACCCAAAACATTTGTTTTAGTAAACTTACATAAAAAATATATCTCTAAAACATTCTTCCATAATTTCCTTAATTGATTTTCCACAAACCCCGTCTAAAATAAACTTTGTACATACGCGAAATTTACGCGTAGCTTTGAGCAGAGATTAAAAGCGTTTTTCCGAGCGCGTGTTAGCACCGCCGAGTCACATTGGAAAAGCGCGCGATACTGTGACAGATCGAGGAAAATTCGCCGTCTTTTCCAGCGCCCGCAGCGCCCCCCAGCGGGGCGCTCACCTTCAAAATAAATGTATGTACCTGAGAAGGTTTATGCCTGTTACAGAGGCGTTATAATGAGCTTTAGGTTTGGGTTAGGGAAGGGAGTTTCTTCCCATTTTATGATGGTGAATGTAGAGGTGGTAATATAGTTTGTAATATTATATAATGTTAACAAATTTAAATCCAAATAGTAATACTAGTTTATTTAAATGATTTTAAAGCAAAGATTTAAAATGGATATGTGGAAATGATTATTGAAAATAATAAGAATTATATAATGGAATGAACGATTAAGAAGAACTACTTATAAAATTAATATGGTTTTGACGGTACCAGTATTAAATAAATAAATAAATAAAATAAAATATATAATGTTTTATTATTAATATACAGGGTTTTTCACATTCGTGGTCCATTAGAAGTTTCTGGAAGTATCTGTTAAAGTATATTTAATGATAAAAATAATATTTATGATGTTACCGCTTATGCTTAAGCGTTAAAAGTTAATAAATCTTAATAGTATCACAATAACAATGGTTGGTTTAAGAATTTAGAAATATAAATACTGCATTTAATGAAATTCAAAAGTGTAAGGTGCAATATAAGTGATATTTTTTTTAATTGGGTCTACATTTCTCCATAAAATAGTTTTAACTAAACAGAATTTATTAAAAAAAATTCAACTTCTCTATTATGAAATAAGAATATCTATATTAAAGGTAGGTTAATGTATTAGAACAAAAAATATTATCTAATTTTGTATTTTAAGGTTATAAAAATCTATTTTGACCAAAATAAATAAGTGGATTATTTGAAAGAGTGTGTTAATATGGTCATAAATAAATATAGGTATACTAAATAATTGTTGAATATAGTTCAAATTAAATTAAAGTAAATACAGGTGTGAAGAGATAAACAAGTTTGTAACCAGTGGCGTATCACAAAAAATATAAAAAACTTCTATTGCATATTTTTTCTTTATCTTTGGAAAAATGTTTTTTTAAATATTTTTCCTTTATTCCTTGTGTCAAAAGGTATTCAGTATTTTAATATATAACATTAATTACATAACACCCTGTATAGAAGCCACAGCTTATCATTTATTAAGACTAATTAAAACGATGCTAAAACATGAACCATTTGCATATTATGTAATTTATTATACATTATCTAGTTTCGTATAACATTTGTAGTTTGATACAGCCCAAAATTAAATTTATGCAAGAATACCTTACATTAGGCAACGTGCAAACAATTCGGAAAGGTCTACAAGTGCTTTATACTTAATAAAATAACATTTAATTATACAGGAATAAATTTCGTAATAAGAGTAAATAATAAAATATTACCGTTTTAATTAAATTACTTTCAATAAAAGCATTCAATTCTTAAATAACAAAGCTTCTAAAATTTAAATTCGATTTATTTTTCATTAATATTTTATGAGCAAAAATGTATACAAAATATTCCTTACCACGTTGAATACACTAGTCGATAAAATGATAGTTTTTGTTTGCCAACAGGGTAGCCAATAACTTTTCTGGAGTAATTTGGATGTATTGATTCTAAAATTTTGCATAATTAGCTCTTGTTTTTGCGATATTGTGGAAATGGTACATTATCTATAACAGGAGGAGAAAGAGGTTATTTAAAGCCAAACTCATTGTGCGGTGCCGAGGCGTTAGCCGAGCCTGCAGATCTGGGCGAGGTAGTTAATATGCTTTCTGCGCCGTGTTATATATATATACTAATTTTTTAAGGTTTGACGTTTGACATATGTTTAAAAAATTATGTTATATTATAGGTTATGTACATAAATTTGATGATTTTGATCTAAACGCAATAGATGATAGAATTTGACTTTTAAACTGAGTATATGAAGTCTTTCTATATAGGCTTATGAGTGTAAAATGTTTGTAGAATTAGTATACATATTTACTAAGCAGTTGTATAGTAAAATTACAAAATGTTGTATTGTAATGCAATTTTAATACGCATTTGTTGTAATATCACATTTTGTTAAAGCCAAAGTACTAAACAGGTTCCAATTTTATAATATTTTTGTTTTGTCAGATACTTAAGGTAATTTTACAATTCCGTATTGTAGGATTGAATATGAAATTTTGTAAAATTTATATACATGTTCGGAATTTAATTTTACCAAGATAATCAATAAAATTACAAACCAAAATTTGCTATTTGAATTACAATAAGTGTTTGGAATTATACAAATCATTATTTATTTTATACAACTTCTGTTTGCATTTTTACTATATATCATTTTAATCCTGTTCACTGTTAAAATTTTTTTGTAAAATTACAATTGTTTTGCAAAACATAGGATGAGTAAAATTACAAATCAGTGTATACCAATACAAAATTATAATACAACTTGATAATCTTCACCGACATGTTGGGAAATCTACTAAGATAAGTTGTAATTTTACAATCTATATGTATAAATCCTATACGCATTGTAATTTTACTAAACAGTTTGACAATTTTTAATAAAAAGTATCTCAGATTTACAAACGTTGTTTGTAATTTGATTTGCTATAATGATATGCATAGTATTTACCGGCAATCACGTGATGTTCTTACATCTCGCCTCGGTTGACTTAGGTGGACAGTATGTAACCTCAGTAGTCTTTCGTTTTTGGTGTGTTTCAATAGGTCTCTTTGTCTAGCTGTCTGTCGGTATTTGAAGTTGGTGGAACGCACTTAAAACAAAAACTCTGGCGAGGTGAAGGTTAAATCTTTACAGTTATGGGCCAAGAAAGTTTCTTGAAGAAACTAAGAAAATTGCAGTTTTTTTTTTCGTGGTATAATTACAATACAATCATTCTTAAATTACTAAACATATTTAGTATTTTTTTTAGCAAAATTACAATACCTGTATAGTAATGTTACTGAACAAATTTTTAATAAATGCTTAGTGAATTTTAACAAACATTTTGTAATTTTCCCAAATTGAGTTGTAATGAATCGTGAAGTGAATTTACAAAACTGAGTTTTATTATTACTATATTATGATGCGTAAAAACTTCCTAAACATGTTTAGTAAAATTACATTAGAAATTTTTGACAGCGCAAGGATCATTTTAATGTGGGTCCTAATTAAACAAAAATAATAATTTCTACACATTTATAGTTTTCCCTTTAAAAATTATGCTTTTAACGCAATAAGTTTGAAAATATTAAGTAAAAATTAAAGATACCTACATTAAAAATTTAAAAATTCATCTGTAGAATAAAAAACGCTTTGGTTTAAGAATTTTTTTACAGTCTTTTTAAAAAATGTTGTGTCGATCTTTCTAATCTCTTCTGGAAGCTTATATTATTATTTAATAAATGCATTCCTAAATATACAAAATTGTTCTGCTTTTGCTACAGCACTTGAAATTTTGAAAATTGTCAAATTTTGACTATAACGATTTTATCTTGATTAAAACGGCATTGTTAAGAGGAATAACTTTTTGAATGTGTAGTTATAATACAGTTTTTAAATTTTAATAAGCTACCTTACTAATGGTGCTCGGTTAAAGTATTTAATTAACAAAATATATAGATTTTGAGTTACCACCACCATTTTTGTTTTTTCAATGGGCGCCTTATTGAAATTTAACACATTAAGGAATCTAATGTATGTATGTATCAATTACATAAGTTATGGCGGTCATTTTAAAACACAATATGGTTATAGAAACTTAAAATAAAGTAGAGAGGTAATGTAAAACATACTTCTTTTAAATATTCCCGATTTTTGGTTTTGTCAGGTTATCAGTTTTTTTCAAATTATTTGAGAACCGCTGATTTGTTTTCAATAATAAATCCAATCAGCCATTTTTTATAAACTTGTAATAACGCAATTTTTTTCTAATTTATTATAGAATATTTGCACCTTGAAAAAAAGGGTTTTTTCAATATCTTGAAAACAAGACCTAATTGAGTCAATTTTGAAATCAGCTCACCCAATTTACCCTTGGAAAAGTGATTGGCCATTATGGCAATGTGGCAAAATTGCTAATAATAGAAATATAATTTCGATTAAATCGATTTATTATAAGAAAAATAATACCATTTAATATTGAATTTTGAAAAACGTGTGAAGTATAATTTATCTAAAATTTCGCAACAGTGTTGCCACAACACCTGCTTATTTCCTTGGATGTAGGCGTGCCTGCCTCGCGTATGCTAATACGAGAGAAGGAGACAACTATGATATCGCATTGTAATAGAACGAGACAACAAGGCTAACGCCAATCGTGGGTATAAATTAGTTCAGGCTTGCTTCTAGCTATAAATATTAGTTTAAATTGCGGTCGTTTCAAATTATTTAAATGTTGCTGGGTATTCCACGTATAAAATAAATCAATTTTATTGACTATTTCACAATTCATGTAATCCAAATATTAAAAATTTCTAGTATATTATAGAAAGTAAAATATTAAATTATACTTAATTTTTTAATTCTCTATGATGAGGCACTGCCTCACCTGCCTCCCCTGACGGGCCGCCACTGAAAAGTTTATATACACTATAGCAAAAACTAAACTGCTTGCCAAAATCAATTTTTAAAACATGTCGATGTTTCATAAACAATTTTTTTGCTAAAACAGTTCTGTGTATTTTCATCTTAATAATTTCAGCAATGATATACTTACTTTTATGAAGCATAAAATAAAGGTCATGTGAAAGTTTTAATTGGCAATAAAGGTAAAAGTTTTTAGTCTGGGTTATAACCGTAAAAGCATTACTGTTTAAGTAATAAAAAGTGTAAAAGAAAAATCGTGTCATTTAAGAAACTTGCTTGGATTCATAAGGCTTTTTATAGAATTGTTTTTTTTTTTCAATGTTGACAAAAAATAAAGTATTCTACGTAAAAAATAAATCAGTTTTAAAATCCTGTAATGTCGTTTAAATTTAGTTGCAGTAGTCTTTTATTATTCTTTTTT